ATTATGTAAGAACGGCAGACCAAAAGTTGTAAGAATTTAAGACCACTAGCGGTGTTAGACAAAGCGATATTCTCTCTCCTTACCTCTTCATTCTTATGATGGATGATGTCATCAAGACCTGTAAGGAGAAGACAAAGAAGTACTCTGTAGGGTACTGGAAGATGAGACCAATCTGTATATCAGAGCTGGAATTCGCAGACGATGTGGCCCTGATAGCTAAATCAGAGGCACACCTTCAGTCCAACTTAATTGTCTGGAAGGAAGAGCTTGAGAAGAGAGGGATGACCATCAGTATCTATAAAACTAAAACCATGGTGATATCAAGAGAGGAGAAGAAACACCAGATCATGATGGGACAGTATGCATTGGAGCAGATCAACCAGTTCAAATACCTTGGAGTTGTATTAGACAGAAATGGAGGCATTGAGACTGAGCTGGCTACACGAAAAGCAGCTGCTGGGAGACTCTTCCAGGCCATACACCGAGAATTTCTTAGCAAAAGAGAAATTATCAAGAGGACGAAAATTATTGTTTACCGCTCTACCTATGTCCCAGTACTGACCTATGGGTTTGAGTCATGGGCAACGACAATAGCTCACAGAAGCCAGCTTCAGGCCTCAGAAATTAGATATCTGACAAGAAGGGACAACTTCCGCAATCAGACGATACGTCAAGGTCTTGATAAACAGTCCTTACAAACCCGATTGGATCAGTCACAGTTACGATGATTTGGACATGTATGCAGAATGGGAGAAAATCGGCCACCATGGCAGGCATGGGAGGCTAAGAACCAGGGAACCAGACCTCCAGGGTGCGCTGGGAAGACAACATCCGACAGTCCCTAATTAACAGAGGACTGGAATGGAACAAAGCCAGAAAGAAAACTGCTGACAGAAACATCTGGCGATCTCTCTGGCTAACCTCTACACCCCAAGGTAGAAGAGGAGTAAGTAAGTAAGGGTATTGACCCTTTTGTGGGTCAAACGACCCTTTCACAGTGGCCAGCAAAGACCATCGAAAACATATATTCGCTGAATTTAAGAAGTAGCAACGAAAAATAATTTTATGGCTTGGAGTTACCACGTGGCGCGGTGATTTTGGTCACAGGCATGAGGGGAAGTTAAGTCTGATGTGATGTGTGTAAGGAGATATTCCGTACCCCACTCGGGCGCCAGTCCTTTACTGTTCTGGTTTTACGGAACCTCATGCAAGACTCCTGCCGCACGTCCCCGTCGTGCGCCACGGATAATGTCTCAAATGAGCATTAACAGAGTTGGCAGGGGATCTCGGAGCTGGCGGCCCCTAGAGGTGTAGTGCCCTTTCTGGCTCTCACCAGCCCGCCCCCAAACGCATGGGTGAAAAGTATAACAAAACTCATTCGGAACATGAGTAAGGATTGCTTGCTAAATGTACCATCAAATGACAACTCTCGGTTAAAATTCGGAAGCGAATGGAAAACTGTGCTGCTGAGACTCAACCCTGACCGAGAGATTTACCCGCAGCCAAGACGAGTAACATCTATTGTGGACGATTTCTCGCAGCAAGATCCTACCCACGTACATCCTCTGTCAATCCTCAGTGTCGTCGTCACCGCGCTGAGGTACACCACGGCAGCAACTCTTCATAAGCTGGCTAGGAAATAACGTCCGACAAAGTTATACCCCACGGCACACATGCAAGCCTAAAGTCCGACGATCAGAATTCGTACAGAGCAGGAAAAAGCCAAATGTCCGTACCCACTGGTCCCACTCGCCTGAGTGTTGGGACCAAACAGATGAAGCCTGATTCTGTCGTGCTAAGGGCACAGCTGAAACAACGTTAAAGGTGTCTAACGTACGATGAAAAAGAATGTACCTATTTGTGCGGCCACAAAAGTCCTGGACCTGCGGGCTGCTCCCCGCTGATCTCCGGAGAGTGCAGCCTTGTAGCGCGGGAAGCTCAATACACGGTTGTGAGGTTAAGCAGTCATGGGCAGGACGTGACGATTCCTTGGATGAGCCCAGAACCAGAGCATCATGTGTCGGCTCTGCATTTATGGAAGCCTCCTTGGATGGCGGGGAATGCCCATGATCTGCCCCTGCCTTCCCTTGAGGGCTGACAATTCTACCTAGGGCTGCCTTAAGGAGGATATTCCGGGGGCCACACCTGTTAAAGGTCAAAGAGGACACCACACAATTTAGGCAACATCTCGACCCACACAAAACAATGGCCACAGTCAACCTAGAAATAGGCTTGACGTCTTCCCTCGAAGTCGGAGTACATCTGCCGGTGAGGCAGGGAACGAGGACTGCAAACAAATAAGACAGTAAAACGGGTGTACACGCAAAACTCAGGTCAAGGTAAAAGCCAAAAGTCCATTTGGACGAACAACCGCGACTTACCGCCGGAATTCACAGCCGGTGAACAAGAAGAAGGAGTTACCACAAAACGAGACACTGTATTAAAGGGTCGCGGCATTAAGAAGGTTGAGAGCCATTGGTCTTCATGGATGATCTTTTCAGTTCTTCAGTACAGAAGACTTGCTTTTTATAAATTTCGTTGTAATGTTTGATCCTTATCAAGGTCATTAGATATGTTTTTCCCATATAGACGCCTCGTAGCAATTAATATGGCAGAATATGAAAAGACTAAGAATACCCTAAACTCTGAGACCAAAATTGACGAGAGAGGTCAACGGTGCTGAGCTGGATCCTATCCACGAATTAAAAAAAAAAAAAAAAACTATTTTGTTATGCGTGAGTGAAGCATATCTTTACCGATTCGTCTACGTACTCCACAAGTACGACGAATTTCTGAACCTATAAAGTTTAGCACACAGTATCTCAAACAGTCACTTTTAATGTGCCTATTATTGTCATTTAATAGGATTCTCACTTAATGAGTACATGAAATGAAAATTATCATTTAGTGGGAATTTCAGTTTGTGCCTCCTATTTGTCACATGAGTATTTATTCAATGACATGGTTTGAGAGTGCCAGAGCCTTTTACGCTTCGTAGCCCTTTGTCACATCTGCCACCAAATCCAAGATGCTGTGCCAAATCGGTTTAGGCACATAATGGCTTTTATCCGTAGCGGTTGATGTAAACCTTAGGACAGGCTACCATATTGCTTGAGATTCAATAAAAACCAACGCAGAATCCTTTGAAGAAAAAGCAGAAGAAGAACATGATGATGATGATGATAATGAAGCGAAGATGATGATGGTGTGGAGGAGAATGAGGAAAGACATAGTAGGGGTTGGCGAGAGAAATGACTCGATAACTCTGAGGCCTAAAAATCAGTGACATCGTTGCCTAACATAATCCGTGACTTAACAAGGTTCGTGTAGTTTTTAAGACTAACCTTTTGGCTTTCAGTCAGGTGTATGAGAGTTTCATGGTGAAAAATATTACTACCTCCCAGTGTAATATTTCCGAAGACGGCAATGGGTGCACTGTCACCAGCCTCTATGGCATTTGTTTAAGCTGATTTCGTGTTTCGTTTAACCGGCGACTCCCCGCACCCCTCTCTCCACATATTACATTAGGTCGTCTTACATCAGTCAAGTGTTACTCAATCCATCTTTTCCCCTTTAACTCTTAATTTCCTTCTCCGTAGTTTTTGATCAGCCCTTATTCTTTTGAACATGATCGTCCTGGTTGGCACTGTCTGTTCTAGAACCCTTCATTGACGTCGAAAGCAAAAGTGCCTGCATTTGCCCATGTGTCCTTTCCTGGCGGGTAGCTTCCGATACCTTTCGAGAGAAGCTTTTCCACCTTTCCAAACATTCTTGCACCTTTACAGCAACTGTCTTCTCCAAGACCTTCCAAGATGTATTTCACCATGGAGGTTGTAGAAAATTAGTTATGGCAGTCCTGTTGCATGCCCCCTGTCTGAGGCGTACAAGTAGGTTGTTGATCCACTTATACTGGAAGGTCTTTCGTGCTCTCCCAGCCTTAACCTTTTTAGGTTTAGAAATCAGAACTGAACATGGTAGGTGATCATTCCCATGGTCATTCAAGACAGTCTATTTTACATCTAAAACCGACGACTAAGAGACAAATGTCAAGTCAATGGCTGTGTCTGCATCACCAGACCTCATTGCAATTCTAGTCGGCTTTCCATCATTGATGCAGACCATATCGGGGTCAACCATGGCCTCTGCAAGGGCAATTCCCTGTCAGTTTTCCCCGCTGCTGTCCTATTCTCTGTTCCTCGCATTGAAGTCCCCACATATGAGCTTTATTATCTTTAAGGTGTGTGAAAATAAATTCAACTTTGAATGTTACATATTTACTATATTTTATATGGTTTATCACCTTGTAGCTCCTCCAATTCCTTGAGCCAGCCTTATTGTTCCCTTCTGACAAAACTGTCTTCTGTGGCATATATATTTATGAGGTTCCAACTTGAACCACCAATCTCCACCTGTATCCACTGAATCTCTCTTTCACTATGATTCACCTGGCTCAAGCTAAGTATCACATGCTTTACTCCTTCCTGAACGAACATACCCTGTCCGTGTCTCCCCTGTCCAATAGGGTTTATATAACTAACGTACCCAGGTATTGATAACTGTATTTAGCTCCCGGAGCATGATGACATAAAAAATCAGCCTCTCCAGTACATGACCTCTCTGCCTAGCACTTTAAAAGTTCCAGTATCCTACTCTTACATGATTGAAATCGTATCTCTCTGTTCGTCTTGTTCTCCTAGCACCTGCCCTCCTATTTCTTTGCATTCTTCTTTCCATATTCACTTAAAACACTTTTCATTTCTAAACACCCCTTTCGCATACACCGGAAACCGGATAAGGAAACCTAGACCCGCAGCTAAAAATACATTGCCCTTACGTCCTTCCGGTGTTCATTTTAACTGAAGTCGAAGGAGGTTAAGTGAGCTAAGAAATCAATCAGTCGAAATCCGTAAGGATATATTTTTTAAATAAAGTTCGTTAATATATAGATTAGCGTTTTGTTTCATTCCTGTTTTAATTGTTTTCGGACATAATTTCTGAATATGTCACACATTGAAAACGGAGATGATGCACTTCTCGCCGATGATTCGTCGATTCTCGCTCATGATGGCAGTGGGGATGCAACGAACATAACTGAGGATAGCGGTGTCGAAGATCCGGTAAGTTCGTGTTATTTTACAATTAAATAATTAAAAGCGTTTTTTTTTTCCCATTCTCGTTGAATTTCAACATAACGCACAAGTGATAACGATTGTTTTAACGATTTTCTTTTTCTTGTTTTGACTTTTAACTGACGCCGGTAGGCCCGGGTAGGCGGGTAGCGTCACGTCTGCATAGAGATGGTTATTTATATTATACGCTCCAGAAAGGACCTTTTTTCACACTATAGGCGTGATAAACTCATATAAGAATAAGATGTTACTGTTTTAAAGAGTAGACACACGTTAGATCATGTGTTTGATGTCAGTCTCGGGCTCTACTTCCTAAGTAATTTCCTACCTTGGCTGATCCTAGTCTAAGTTAAGTATAAGTACTATAAGTAGCACACTTAGTTTTCGGCTCTACTGTCAAATTTGGCCGGTAAGCTGGACAGCTTCGGCCGGCTTAGCGGGGTTTATGTCCCTTGGCCAAACTCAAAACAAGTCGCGGAAAAAGTCACGAAACAAATGACATACTTACCTATCATCATCCGGGTGCGTGTAGGGTTGCGTAGGGTGTCTATCATCGTCCTACGGGTGCGTGTAGGGCTGCTTATTTCGTGTAGGTTGGTTTAGGTTTAGGGTTTATGGGTATGGTTCGATTTGAAAATTTTCACGTAGGAGGTCGAAATAGTGGCCGACAATCTGACGTTTGTGGGAGTGGCGCCACCGAAACTGTCAAATATGACGCCAATAGCCGGCAGCTGGTGCCCAGTCGCTGGCGAATTGTCCGTGTCAGTAGCATCCACCGTCCGTCGACTGTTTGCGCGTGCATACGACTGTGCTCGATTATAGGTAACTACGGCGTCATATTTGGCAGTTTTAGTGGCGCCACTCCCACAAACGTCAGATTGTCGGCCACTATGTCAACCTTCTTCGTGAAAATTTTCACATCGAACCATGCCCCTATACCCTAACGGTAAACCCTAACCCTACCCCTCATCTATCTTACGCAACCAACCAACCCTACACGCAATAAGCAGCCCTACACACAACCGTAGGACGATGATAGACACCCTACACACACCCTGATAATGATAGGTAAGTATGTCATTTGTTTCGTGACTTTTTCCGCGAATTGTTTTGAGTTTGGCCAAGGGACATAAACCCAGCTAAGCCGCCCGAAGCAGTCCAGCTTACCGGCCAAATTTCACAGGAGAGCCTAGTTTACGAGTTTTAAATTTGACAGTATTGCACGGAGGAGCCGCTGAGCGTAGCGGCTAGACGCTCGCGGGCGGATCGGAATGTCGTGGGTTCGCTCTCTGGCAAAGTCGGACTTTTTCAAAAATGTCCTTGAATCCCAGGTCGACCTAGCCTTGAGTGGATTCAGTGTGAAGTTCCGGGAAGTAAAGTAAAGGTGGCCGTCGTGATGCTGACCACATCATCGGTCTTGTGTGTTGTCTATAAAAATATAGGTCTTGCTTGCCCTATACGCCCAAAGTCGTGAAAAAAAGGGTCCTCTATTGTTTTGTTTTTAGTGATGAGTAATGCAGGGATCACCTGCAAAAAACTTCCATTCATGGAGATTTTTACCGAATTTTGAAGAAAAAAAATTTTGTGCAAGCGGCACAACGTCTGCCAAGTACTTTTTTGTAGATAATAAAGACCATGCACACTGCTTCTGTTTTATGATATATACATTGTCTGGCTATCCTTCAAATAGTCGCCAGAAAACCGCAAATTAAATCACATGACTGAGGCCAGAAAAAATATTTTGCAGGCCGCCATCTTTACCGTCCGTTATTCAGAGGATAGCCCATTGTCTCTTATAAAATTTTCTTATTGTTTAGCTAAAAAAATAACGGCTATCCTCAGAATAACAGTCCTAAATTATCGAGACGGAAAATATACCCTAACAGGGCCTCAGTCCCATGTCAATTGCACGCTTCCGGCGACTTCCGCTACAGCAGAGATTATCCCTCGCGCGGCGTGGATTGGGGCTAAACTAGATGGCTAGGACTCAACGAGCAGCAGCTGCCGCATCTATTGCAGCTTTCTTTATTTTTTTGCCCATGAGTCCTAGCCATCTAGTTCAGCCCCAATCCACGCCTCGTGAGAGGCGTGTGGATACTCTCGGCGGTGGCAGAAGTAGGAGGTCGGCTCTGTGACTAAGTTGATGTGAACGCTTCGTAATGCAGGGGTGCTGAGTTTGATCCCTAGTGCAGGCCATGCGCCTTACCTTGGTTTCGGCAGTGGTATCAGGGGGCCGACCATCCAGAAAGCAATGAAAAACTATTGGACCTAAATTTGCCTAGATAAACAAAACAGCAGCTATGGGCTGCTGTTGTTGGTTCTGCAATGTCCTATAAAGAATAAAGGATGCAGAAGTCAAGTTAGGCACTACTGAATTTGTGTATTTTATGTTTTCAATTTTCCTGTTCTATTGAATTTTTTTTTAAACATGCTTAAACGTGATATTTTTAGCTGGGGTCTATTTCTTTGCATCACTTTCACCACTGTAAACTCTGGTGGAAGTTCTGGTTTTTTATCTGCTTCTGGTCTGATATTCCGGAACTGTGTGATCCTGTTTTGCAGATGTGACTTATTTGTATATTTTGCAGACAATTGGTTCTTCATCTTTATCAGATGCACTTCGACTTGAAGTGAATACCCCTTCATTATTTTACAGCATGTTTGTTTTGCAAAGGGGAAGTGGGTCTTTCCCACTTTCATTGGGCCACAGAAACCACAGATATTTGTTTTTAGTGAACAATTATTTTCATATTTTCATTGATATTTCTGTGCTGACTTCAGGAGCTGGAGGCTATCAAGGCTCGAGTGAGAGAGATGGAAGAAGAGGCTGAAAAGTTAAAGGAGATGCAAACTGAGGTCGACAAACAGATGAATCTGAGCTCACCCACCTCTGCTGGTAAGTAAATATGTTGTGTGTTTGTTGATTCGTCGTCTTCACTTTTACCTGCAGTAAGCTCCAATGTGATGTTTTGGTTGTCTTGTTTTGCATGCACAATCATTTCATAGATTTGACTTTTTTTTGTATGCAGGCTGTTAGTTCCTTGCTTTAGTTTTACCATTCTAAGTATTACCCGTAGCGGATCTACCCCACATCCCGAAACACACACAATAGGCCACGGTGCTATTTTGGCATATCTTTCTTCCGTAGAATTTCAAACCTTACACAGATCCATGAACATAGTCAATTTTAAAATTTGCTATCTTTCTATAAAGGTGTGTAGTTGTATATCACCTTAACAGGAAAAAAATCTTTTACAGTAGCCTAGATAACGGATACCGGCAGTCCACATATCTGTACCCACTTTGTCTTGAATGAGATGTTTGTTTGTTTGTTTTAGTATCCAGAAGCCATGAGTTGTTAACCCTTAGGCTCGGTATTATGGATATCGCAACTTTTCGGCCTTGATTCCATTGTAAATACCGTAAATCTGGGAGAAAATGTTGCTTTCCTGGCATACCGTATGGATTGAACCCGAACCACAAGGAGTTTGTCGCCCGGTCTCTGCGCAATCCTGTTTAGCCAACTACGCTAGAGAGCCGGGCTAACTGAGATGTAAACAGGCTGTATTGTTTCCCCTGTAAGCAGCATACGTTTGTATGTTGGGACTACATGCTCAGCATTTTCAGGTGCTGAGTTGCAGAAACATCTTCATGTTTTACACTCAGTAATATTGTCTACTGTGCCCTGTCTCTAGTCTGAGACAGGAAAGCGAGTCTTTAGAAAATTTGGTGTGTGTATCCAGCCACCTTGGTTTTCTGTTATGTTATAGTTTTATTATATAAGATGTGGCTAAAAAAAAGTTAAGTCGGGAGATGTGAACCGGCGTCATTGTACATGGTCATAAACCATAAGTGCACTCCCACTAGTACAGATAGCTGGTTAGAAATTGTCGCCTGTGTCGCTATCCGCACGTAACTCTGTAGCTACAGCGATGTTTCTCCATTTACCCAGAGTGTTAACTCTGGTACACATTTCCTAGAGGCTGGGTGAACCCCAGGAACTGCCCGGTTTCAAACACCGGCCGTGTGCTGCAGCGAGTTGCAGCTGAATTTAAAAGCGAATCCCCTTTCGACTGTGCTAACGCAGGCGCACAGATGAAAGTATAATTTACATCATATTATTTACAGTGTGCATCCAAAACATAAATGCACTCACAATATGAATCAATGTGTCTCATGGAAAGGGGGAAATAGACCCAATTTTTCCCACACAAACATGTCTTTAACACACAAGAAAAGTTGACCAGCAGTAAGAGGGTGTTTTCTTCTAAATCGGAGTTCGTCTTCCTGAGAGGTGAGAAACGAACAGTTTCCATACAAATAAATAAGATCTGACAATTAAGTAATTCCATAAAAACTAAAATAATCAACAGTTAAAGATATTACCTGTATTTTATTTAAAGTAAGCCCGTTGTGCATTGATACAGCAAGTGGCATGATCTAACAAACACTGGAACGACCTCTGTAGTTCTTCTGTTGTTATGGCCCTTAAGTTCAATGTTACAGCCTTTTAGATGTCATCAGTATCGTCCTTTCAATGGTAACTTTAATTCTAGGAATAGAAAATAATCACAAGGAGACAAATCTGGGGAGTAGGATGGATGGTTACAAAGATACACTTGTTTTGGGACCAATAATTCCTGTACAACTCCCGACCTTTGAGCCGGTGAATTGTCATGAAAAAGAAACAAATTGCCAGGTGTTGTCTTTTGTAAAATAATTAGCTTGAAAGTCACCGTTACCTGACTTATATAAATGTTAAGTATTTGCTTACTGTTTTGTTTAAAGCTGTGTGTTAAAAACTTTACAATTAGTGACATTTGAATCCTGGCTTTCATTTGGTCCTTTTCTTTGTTTCAGCAACAGCTGCACCGTTCCCCACACCAGAAGAAAAACTGGAGGCAGATTCAAAGTCTATATATGTTGGCAATGTAAGTTAATGTAAACAGATGTAAACATTGATTGGTAATTGTCAGGTTTTTGAAGTATAGAAGTAAATTACAATGCAAAGTATAAACCAGGGTTCGTAGCAGAATTTGATACTTAAAATTGGCAATGGATTGGGTCGCCACCCAGGAAGGATTTTGCCAATGAACAGGATGATTGTCCGGGATTTCGTCTTTGAACGGCATGATTGCCCTTGAAGTTTTTCGCTGTAATGAGAGAATGTGAAATCAAGAAATCTATGATTTTCTGATCATTTGGCCATTCATCTAGCTTTGTTTAAAATGTTTACGGTCATTTCCCAAAAGCGGAGATCGATTTATTGTTTGGTTTGTGGGGTTCGAATGGTAGGGGGTGGTGCAAGAAATGGGTCCATCGAAGAATCAATGAGGCAGGAAAGGCTGTTGTTTCTGGGGTCACGTTTAAATTGGGAAATGGCAGAGCTGGCAAAAGTGATCTAACTTGGATTTCCTCATTCTATTTTTGGCACGAAGGAGTAGCTGCTAGACGCTTACCTGCGGATCAGAAGGTTGTGAGTTTGGGTCAGGACAGAGCTGGACTTTTTTACCAGGTCAGCTTAGACTTGCGTGGGTACCCGGTGCTGTCCACATCCCCCACTAAGCGCCGATTGGTCTATAAAATGTAGGCCTAGCCTTTTATAACCAATGCACATAAAGGGTGCGATAAAAGTGTCCCTAACTTTATTTTTTGGCACTGACTGTTCTGACAACCCATCCTAGTGTATTCCCTCTTCTCTCACCTCTTTCTCCATCAATCTTTCAATTTTCTACCTATTTTCTTATTTCTCTCACCTCCTTTTTTTCCTCCTGGTTCTGTGTGAAGACATTATATAATTGTTAAAGTGATCGAGAAGTGATGTTTTTGCATGTTAGACTCCAGATTTATAATGATGGAACAATTCCTGCTGATCTTGATCATTGTGGTAATAAATAATTTGTCTCCTGTATATTTTGATAAAATAGTTGCATGGTTTTTCTGTATTATGCAGGAAAAAAAACCACAAGATGTTTATGCAGTGCACTGTATGAATTCATAGTATTAGTGCAATATGTTTTATTCATCTCAAAGTATTTGCAATTTATCTAGCTCTTGCTGTAAGGGAACTGTATCCATCCAAAGTATTAGTACACTCTGGATACAAAGTATTTGCACACTGCATGGATGCAGAGAATTAGTGCATCATAGATCCACTGTGATCCTTGGTATAGTGCACCGGTTGAATTAAAGTGTATGACTTCAAATTGTTAGTGCACTGTAGATTCAGTGTATTAGCAAACTGATAACATATTGTATGGCTGTTAGTTAAGTGACCAAGAAGTGATGTTTTTGCATGTTAGACTCCAGAGTATAATGATGGAACAACTACTGCTGATCTTGGTCTGTTGTTGTGATCTTGTGGCCCCATATTTATAAAACATGAAAATTGTCTGAATTGTTACATTTTCTATAGAATATTAGCTGTATTTAGTGCACTGTGTGATCCAGCGTTTCGATGGGCTGTGCAATCCATCGTAGAGCCATTGTATTGATCCAACATTTTAATGTACTGTACAGATTTTAAAGTATTTGTGCACTATATATATCTCAGTGTATGAATTCAAAACATTCTTGTAAATGTGTAGATACAAAATATTTATGCAAATGTAGATTAAAAGTATTTTTGTAATTTATTGTTTCAAAGTATTCCTACACCATGTAAAAATTTCTAAGGAATAAACAAATGCATTTAAACTGTTAAAGTGATCAAGAAGTGATGTTCTTGCATGTTAGACTCCAGATTATAATGATGGAACATTTCCTGCTGATCTTGATCTAAAATAGCTCGTATTTATAAAATAATTGTATAAACTCTAGTAATGTTACTGAGATTTTTTTAAATATTGGCTGCACGTAGAGCACATAGATTCGGCTTTAGTGCACATGTAGATCTAAAGTATTGATGCATTTTTTAGATCCAGTTTTAGTGCACTATAGATTCACAGTATTAGTTTACTGAATGGATTCAATTTGGGTACTAAATATTAGAGTATCAAATGGAATCAGTTTTCAGGGCTTAAGTGCAGTGTGTGGATTCAAAGTATTAATGTACTTTATGCACATTTATGACTGATAATCATTTTAGGGAGGTAACACTGTTTAATCATGATCAATAAGTGATGTTTTTGCATGTTAGACTCCAGATTATAATGATGGAACAACTCCTGCTGATCTTGGTCTGTTGTAATAAAGTATTGTGATTCTTATTAATAAAATAATTACCTGAACATTTTTTAAATTAGATATTGTTTGTTCATAGGTAGTGCAAAAGTATAGTACACTGTAGGGGACAGAAGTATTAAAGTAGTGTTTGGTGTAAAGCTGTAGCACATTTTTCGTGATTAAGTTTTTGCATGTTAGACTCCAGATTATACTGATGGAACAATTACTGCTGATCTTGGTCTGCAGTTGTAATGAAATCTTGTGGGACTGTATTTTTATATTTTTAGAATATTAGCTGTTTGTAGTGCTCAGTATGAATCCAAATTATCCATGCACTGTGGATTCAAATTGTTAGTGTACATTGTATATTCAGTGTATCGCTGCACTGTGTGAAATGAAATAAGCACATTTTGAAGTGATAAAGATGTGATGTTTTTGCATGTTAGACTCCAGATTATAATGATGGACTAGTACATTTTTTAAATTGTTTTTTTTTGTATGTAGTGCGCTATATATATTACAAAGTATTGATGCACTGTAGGACTCTAAAGTATCAGAAGAGTGTTTTGATGCAAGGTACTAACGCATGATTTATGATCAAGAAGTGATGTTTTTGCATGTTAGACTCCAGATTATAATGATGGACCAGTTCTTTCTGATCTTGATCTGTCTTTGTTATAAAATAATTTCATCAGCTGTTTGTAGTCGGATCACAGGCTTTGTAGAAATTTGGCTGTATGAAAAGCTTTTGGTAGAGAATCATCATGGGCGATCATTCCTCTCCACACTCTGTGATTCGCAACTGTGTGTTGACATCTCGCCATGACAAAAGGCTGTCTCGCACTCTTTTCCTCTCTCTCTCTCTCTCTCTCTCACTTTTCACAAATCTTTCTAGTGGTTACTTGTTCTCATTGCATGCCCAGAATATAATGTCTGGTGTTTTTGTTAGTCTTCAAACACCTGTCTCTTTCATGTCTGGGTCATTCTTCTTAGCTGTCAAGGAATTCTGATTGGTAGGGAATACTTGTTTATTGTTAAAGTGGTCAAGAAGTTATGTTTTTGCATTGCAGATAATAATGATGGACCAATTCATGCTGATCTTGATCTGTTTTAATGAAGTCCTGGGATCCTTATTCATAAAATGTTGTAACTGAATTTTTAGATCAAATATTTTTTAGAATATTTTCTGTATGGATCCAAATTATTGGTGCACTGTGCTGATCAAAATTATTGGTGTGCATGGTAGATAGTGTATTAGTGCACTGTGAACATCTCTAGGAAATGAACAGGTTGTTTAAGTGATCAAGAAGTGATGTTTTTGCATGTTAGACTCCAGATTATAATGATGGAACATTTCTTGCTGATCTTGATCTGTTGTAATAAAGTATTGTGGTTCATATTCATATTATAAAATGTTTGACTGTTTTATTGTTTTGCAGTATATAGTGCACTATATCTATTACAAAGTAAAATGCATTAAATAGGTACAAAGTATAGATGCAATGTAGGACTGTTGAAGTATCAGAACAGTGTTTCAATGCAAGGTACTAGCGCATGATCTATGATCAAGAAGTGATGTTTTTGCATGTTAGACTCCAGAGTATAATGATGGACCAGTTCTTGCTGATCTTGATCTGCAATTGTAATAAAGTCTTGTGGCCTGTTTTTTTTTAAATGTTTAAATTGTTAGATGAAAGGTTTTGTAGAAATTAGCTGTATCTAGTATTCTATATGGGTCCAAATGATGGTTCACTGTAGGGATACAGATTATTAGTGTACTTTGTAGATTTAGTGTATCGGTACACTGTGTGAACATCTCTGGGAAATAGGTACATTTTAAAGCTATCGAGAAGTGATGTTTTTGCATGTTAGACTCCAGATTATAAAGATGGAACGTTTATTGCTGATCTTGATCTGCAGTTGTAATGAAATCTTGTAGCCAGTGTTTATTATTAATTTCATCAACCTTTTGTAGTTAGACCAGTCTTTGTCGAATATTTGTTGCTTGAATAGCTCTTAGTATGGAATCATCAAGAGCCTTGCCGACTGGCATGAGCGATCATGCTTCTACACAATCTGAGATCCGCAGCTGTGTGTATCAGTTCATGTGTTGACCTTACTCCATTCTATGACAAAAGTCTTCTCGCGCTGATTTCCTATGTCTCTCTTTCCAGTGGTTACATGTTTCACCTGTCTCTTTTCAAGTGTCTGGGTTAATCTGTCAAGGAATTCTGAGGATTGGTAGGGTATATTCATGCCGTATATAGTTTTAAAAGTATCCTACCCCATGTAAACATCTCTAGGGTATGAATACATTGCATT